AAAAAGAAAGCAGCATTAGACGAAACAGTACGCAGCGAAGACACCCACCACGAAGCGGCTCATCAGCGAAGAAACACACAACATACAGTCTACTAACATAATATAAGAACATGTGAGTAGAGTGTTCATTGCAAAAAAAGAAATTAAGGAGTAAAAACAAATAAAAATACAATTTCAACCTTTAAATATTAATTATTAATAACAAAAAACGCAGCACGCAAAATTCCCTGTCTTTACTTGCCCTATGAGTGATAGTGAAATACAAGATTTAATAACAAATTTTCGAAAAATTTACAACACAGAAAATTTAAAAATGGCTTTGAATTCAGATCAATTAAAAGCTATAGTAGAAGGCGCAGTCGCAAGCGCTTTAGCTGCTCAAAAAGATAGCTTTGATAGAAAATTAAACGAAATTGAACAACGTATAAATTCAGTACAGGTTAGCGCACCCGAGGTAGAAACTTTCAAGGAGGCAGAAATCAAAATAGGTGTTATTTGCAACGAAACCCTTGACATCATGAAGTCCCTCCCGGACTTTGAAGGAAAAAGCGAAACTTATGTATCTTGGAGAAAGGCTGCGCATATCGCATACAAGGTATATGAGAAATACGATGGTAGCTCAAAGCATTATCAAGCTTTGGGAATATTAAGAAACAAAATTAAGAACGCTGCTGATATGGTACTCTCTTCTTTCGACACTCCTCTAAATTTTAAGGCCATTATAAATCGGTTAGATTTCACGTACTCCGACAAACGACCGATATACTTAATTGAACAGGAGATGTCAACACTCCGCCAAGGAAATTTGACACTACTGCAGTACTACGAAGAGGTAGAAAAGAAACTGACTTTACTTATAAATAAGACAATCATGACCTACGACACCACCGTTGCCTCTTCGCTAAATGAGAAATATAGAGCAGACGCCCTGCGAGTATTCATCTCAGGAACCAGGAAGGCCTTAAGTGATGTCCTATTCTCAGCTAGACCAATTGATCTTCCCTCTGCATTGGCATTGGCTCAAGAAGTTGAGTCAAATCATGAACGTTATATGTTCGCCACAAATTTCGCCCGCAGTATAGAAGAAAAAGCGCAGAAGATCGAACAAAGACAGCAAGTCAGAGACAAGACTCTAGCTCAAGACCCAAAACACAACCAACCAGGAAAAAGCCCACACTACAAAAGACCAGAATTCTCACCACGACAAGAACAGGTAGAACCAATGGACGTTGACTCATCTTCTCGCTTCAGACAGGCTACGCAACACCAACAAAACGCGACCTTCTCGAAACAGACTCAGTGGCCAAATCAACAACGACGCACTCAATACGAAAACTACAATAACCAGGGACAGGCAAACAAACGACCAAACAGCGGTAGCGCACGGTTCACAGGACCGAAACAGCAAAGAGTTAACCACCTAGGAACAGAAGATACAGAATACGAGCAGGACAATAGCGAATACCAAGCGATCGCAGAAACCGAGACAGAAGACGTTGACAATGAATTGGACGAATACGACCAGGTCAATTTTTTAGGAATAAATCCCTGCTCCCGTTCATAGAGAGAACGATAGCAGGGAAAACCATAAAGTTGCTAATAGATACCGGAGCCTCAAAGAATTACGTGAGACCATTAAAAGAACTAAAAAATATTACGCCGGTAGAAAAACCCTTTCGATTAAAATCAATCCATGGCCACAACGTAGTTGACAAGAAATGCATAATGCACCTTTTTAATACCAAGACAACATTTTTCTTATTACCAAACCTCACGACATTCGATGGTATAATCGGACTTGACCTACTAAACCAAACCAACGTTTTATTAGACTTCAAAAATAAGAAACTAACAACAAACTATGGTTCTGAGACCATTAACTTTCTAAAATGCCCAGCCGTAAATTTCACAAGTGTCAAAGAAATAGAAGCCCCTCAGGCTATAACAACGGAATTTCAAACAATGCTCAAAGCCCGAGCAGGAGTATTTGCGGAACCAAATGAAGCGCTTCCGTATAATACAAATGTCATTGCAACTATTAGAACAGAGGACGAGAATCCCATTTATTCAAAATTATATCCATACCCAATGGGCGTATCAGAATTCGTAAACACAGAAACTCAAGATCTGTTAGAAAACGGTATAATACGTCCGTCCCAGTCACCATACAACAACCCCGTGTGGGTTGTAGATAAAAAAGGTACCGACGAGCAGGGAAGAAAAAAGAAACGTTTAGTTATAGACTTCAGAAAACTAAACAAAAAGACAATAGATGACAAATACCCCATTCCCAATATAGCCTCCATTTTATCCAACTTAGGCACAGCAAAGTACTTTACAACACTAGATTTAAAATCCGGATTCCACCAGATTTTACTTGCCGAAAAAGATAGAGAAAAAACAGCCTTTTCTGTAGGAAGCGGAAAGTATGAGTTCTGCAGGCTCCCTTTTGGCTTGAAAAATGCACCTAGTATTTTTCAGAGAGCCATTGACGATGTGCTCAGAGAGCAAATTGGAAAATCTTGTTATGTTTACGTAGACGACGTAATCATTTTTTCTGAAAATATGGAAAGCCATGTCAAGCATATCGCCTGGGTCCTAGATAAACTATACGAGGCCAACATGAGAGTTTCACCAGAAAAGTCGCACTTTTTCAAAGAAAGTGTAGAATACCTAGGTTTCGTAGTCTCAAGTAATGGTATAAAGACATGTCCAAGTAAAGTTGAAGCGATTCGTAACTATGAAGTACCAACAACTTTGTTTAACGTCAGATCATTCCTTGGGTTGGCAAGCTACTATAGGTGTTTCATCAAGGACTTCGCGTCTATAGCAAAACCTATAAGCGACATCTTAAAAGGCCAAAATGGCAAAGTGAGCGCCGGACAATCCAAAAAAATTCCAGTAAAATTTGACGAGAGTCAACATGCGGCATTCGAGAAGCTAAAAGAGGTTCTTGCATCCGAAAATGTAATGTTGCTCTACCCTGACTACAAGAAGCCGTTTGATTTAACAACGGACGCTTCATCCTCTGGTCTTGGGGCAG